CAAAAAAATATATCTTCGGGGAAAAGTTGAAAGTATTAATTTTTCTTAAAATAAAAACTTCCATTTTTTTTGAAAAAAGGGATTTATATCGAAAGTTGAATCACTATTCTTTTTTTCTTTTTTTTTTTGGGTTTTTTTTTAATATTAAATAATTCAACGACGGAGCTTCTGCAAGTGAAACAGTAGTCTCCTTGCATACTTTTGAGGTGAGAGATTTTTTTTAATTTTCTACTAAAAGTATTAGAGTCAATTAAGAATAATTTTCAATAATTAATTACTTGATAAATTTTTAAGGCTTATTGGATAACACAAAATTAAACCGGTACCATCTTTTAATGGGCATTGCGAGGTTGCTATAACTTTCTTCACAGGTAACCGTACTCTCAAATCTTGTTCTGGTTAGTAGACCTAAACCTATTCTTTTAGGGACCTTTAGGCTTAGGTGTTCTTTAAAAAGATAGATTCCTTAGGTGGCCAATCGCGCCTAGATAAAAAAGATCAGTGGCAACTCCTCAAATCAATGTCTAGCGATGGATCCTCGGATCTAGATGTTATGACAGCTTGGCGACTCCACTGGGGACATCTAAGAGTCAGGCCAGCAAATAAATTTGTGTTATCCAAAAGCCTAATAATATTGAACCTTTTGTATAGATTTTTTATTCATTCATTTTTATTTACTTTATTAATTATGTCATTCATATGCATATGCATAACATGAGCTCTATACCCGAGCTCCGTCCCTCTGGGAAGGAGTAAAATACCTATTGCTTTCGTGATGTTTAATGCCTTCGTAGTGGCTAACGAAATACTCCCACTCAAATTGAACCTTTTTCACCTGTAGCTTGTAATGGGTGAGATCATGGTGCCTTACTAGTCTGTGATGGATAATGATGTAAGGAGCAATTTGAGAACCTTTAGACTTTAACCTTAAATCACATATAGTGAACCTTAAGAGTGCCTAACCTATAGATAGAGCCATCATCCTTCCTTTTTAAAATTGACTAAAAGCATAGGGTTCATTCATCTTATTCTGTGTGATGTTTTAATTTACTTAGTTATTTATTTATTTCATTTTTTTAGGTATACTAACTTTTTCTCTCATTCTTTTGCATTGGTTCATACTCATATCATAAAGTTGCATAAAGAACATTTTCTTGAAAGACGATCTTCAACAAAAAGTTTTTCATAGACTCCACAGAATGATTAATTTGCTCTTCATCTGTATTAACTCATTGTGAGCTACCTAATGAAGTAAACATCTAGTCAAAAAAGATGTAACTTAAGATGGAGGATTGTTTACCAATTAGCTATGATTCTACCATGTCTCAAGAAATATCTATCCTCCTCAAACAAAATAATCTAGAAAAATTGGTTGATATATGGAAGAAGATGAACCTAGCTAGACAAGAGAAGTTTTGCTAGAGACATAGGCATATAGCACACCTTCTCACAGTAGTTGTCGATGATAAACTAATCAAAGCTGCAGCGTAATTCTGGGATCCTGCATACAAGTGTTTCATATTTAATGAAGTTGATATGATACCAACCATCGAAGAATATTCGACTTTGTTGGGTTTGCACCTTAATACTCCTGATAAGATATATGTCAAAAAATACAAGTCAAAATTTCGTAAGGATTTGGCTCGACTCATGGGGATAGACAAAGAAGTTGTGGATTCTCATACAAAGAAGAAACAAAAAAAAATTTACCTACCTTGAAAGTTTTTTCATGAGTTTCTAATGCAACATGCCAACGAAGAACGGGGGTTAGATGTATTTGCCTTAGCTATATACGGAATGGTGATATTTTCAAAGATTTTGGGTTATATTAAAATAGTGGTGGTTGATTTCTTCAAGAGTGTGATCAATGGTTGTAACCCTTTAACGGTAATATTAACAGAGACTATCAAATCTTTAAGTTACTGTCATCAGAATGGAAGGCGTTTTATAGGCTGCATACAGTTATTATACTTATGGATGAAAAACTACTTCGAATGAAGAAAAGGTGCTTTCTCAAAGCTTTATGTCCACAATCGAGCTCCGATCAAAGAATTCTATGAAAATGGGTGGTCAAAATAAAAGTCTAAAAAGGAGTGGATAGTTTTCCTACAAAAATTGATCAGTGTCGAAGTAAGATGGTTGGTCCTGTGGATGAATCGTGAACCTATGCTGTATTAATGTGAAGATAATACTGTGGTCCCATTTTTAAGTTTATGAGGAGCAACAAGTGATGCATCACTTCTAATGAGAAGACAGTTTGGGGTAGAATAGTTCATTCCTATGACACATGGACTTCATGAATTAGATTTCTTTTAAAGTGAGCCAAAAGCATTTCAGAGGATGAATGAGATAATTAAAGTATAGAAAAATCCCCGAAGAGTGAGTCCTAGATCGTTCACTGATAAGGTCACCATTGGATACTTAGTTTGGAGAGCAAAACGAAGACAAAAAATGGTATTCACTTACGAAAGCTCTCAACCACCAATAAGAGAAAAGCTTGAAGAAATACCATCAGAATTGGAGCTTGTGACAAAAGAATTTGAATTCGAAAAAGATAAGTTAGAGCAAGAGATTTAGAAACATTGAGAAAAGAGGGATCAATGGAAAGAAAGAGCCGAAAAACATGAACTCAAAGTTTGCAAGATTGTTAAGAAGCATGACACAGTTATCCAAGACTTATCAGAGTTACACCATGAACATAAGAGGTTGTGTATGAGGGTACAAGTCAAAAAGATAAGAATTGTTGAGCTAACTAAAGAGAATGCAAGATTGAAACAAGAATATGTTGAATTGGAAGAAGAAAGTACCCAAGTACAGAGAGAGAATAACATGTTGAATAGTTATCTAAGCAGGTTAAGACAAAAGCTAAATGAACAAGAAGACCATATTACTGCATGGGTTAGAGAGCATAAAAAATTATCATACCAAGTCTGGTGTGGTAAAAGAGAGAACTTAAGAAAACAGAAGTACATTAAGCACTTAACGACCCAAATTTATAAAGAGATATGTAAGGCAAGAGAGATGATAGAAGAGATAGAGGCATTGAAACAAGTGGTGGCCCTAGTAAGAGAATATGGGCAGCATCTATTAAACTTCATCGAGGAAGCCAAAGCTCAGTATGAGTAGATCAAATGATTTTATGGTTATAACTCTAGGATGATGAACTTTATGTAAACGAAAATTCTTTGAATAAATGAAATCTTTTGGTTGAACACTGTCTTAAGGCAAATGTTTTTTGCATTACATGCATTTTTATTCATTGCATCCTCATTCATTATATTTAACAAAGTAACCATGAGATAGTCATATAAATTTGCTAATTTTAAGATATGGTATTCAAGGTTCAAAGATAGCTTCATCTAGTAAGAACCCTATCTATTGATATAACACAAGAGCCAGAGCCAAACAAATAGAGTAAGAAAACTCTCATAGATTTGAAAAACTGGAAAAAGCACAAGAAAAGATTGAGAATGAGTTAAGCAAGATTCTAGATGCTCTTAATAAGCTGAACATGAGAAAAAGAATAGACAAAAATAAGCCAACAAGGCCCCCCATCGCAAGAATTGGCCGACCCTTTATATCCTCTAGGTTTTAGTCATAATAAGCTCAGCCCACATAGGATATTTCATCACAACAGTTCACATATCCTGTATACCTCGAAATACCATCAGTTTTAAATTCAGGGCATTACCATAGTTATGTAAATCTTGTCTTTACTGAAAAGACAGTAGAACCGATTCAAGTTTCTGATCTAGATGACTTGAAAGAGAAGGGAAAAGAAAAAGCAAAGGTGGTGGAGTCTCAGGAAGATTCAAAAATTAGTATGCTTGAACAAAAATTACGGGTCGTAGAAGGGATTGAATTTTATAGTTCGTTGATGCTGCTGGACTGTGCTTAGTCTTGGATGTAGTCATTCCATTAAAGTTCAAAGTACCAGAATTTGAGAAATATGATGGTACGAAATGCCCAAAAACTCATATCACCATGTATTGCCAGAAGATGGCAGCCCATGCCCATAATGAAAAACTATTAATGCATGTTTTTCAAGATAGCCTTACAGGCTCTGCTGCCAGATGGTATGTCCAACTAGACAAAACCCGCATTCATTTTTGGAGCGATATAGCTCATGACTTTATCAGTCAATATCGACATATTATGGATCTTACTCCTGATCGTTTATCTTTACAAAACCTGAAAAAAAAGGCAAATAAGTTTTTTAAAGAATACGTCCAGAGATGGAGGGATGTATCTTCTCAGGTACAACCTCCTCTGACTAAGAAAGAGACTACAGTGCTATTTGTTAGTAATTTGAAATCTCCCTATTATTAAAAGATGATAGGAAATGCAACTAAAAATTTTACTGATATGATAATTTCAAAAAAAATTATTGAGAGTGCCATCAAGAATGGTAAGCTAGAATGAGGTGAAGCATCCACTAAAAAGGCCTTGAAGAAGAAAGAGACTGAAGCTCAAGCAGTGAGCTTTGATAGGCAACAATGCAGAGGTTATCAATCCTACCCATCTCAAAGATACCCCTCATATTATCTTGATGTGAATAACACCTCTTTTTATCCATACCAACCCATCTCACAGCCATCCTACCCCCAAACATATCAACATTCTTTCAGACCTCAGAATGCCACATACAATCCTAACACTCAACCTACCTCAAGACCTCAGAACAACGAACCACTCGTGAAAAGCCTGTATTTGACCCAATCTCTATGACCTATACAGAGTTATATCGTGAGCTTTATAACAGTCATCTAATTGCTCATAGTAAATTAGAGCCACTCAAGCCACCTTACCCTAAGTGGTATGATCTTACAGCTCATTGTGACTATCACTATGGGATTACTGGTCACTCCACTGAAAATTATACTGTCTTGAAACACAAAGTGCAACGACTGATCAATAATGATGGACTGATTAGTTTTGATACAGGAGGGGTAATTGCATCAAATATTAGTGGCAACCCTTTGTCTTTTTTTTCTTGTTATATATAGAATAGAAAAAAGCGATTGATCATAACGGCATAATAAGGGAGCCCAAGAGGGCAATGGCATCCGTAGTGGCTCCTTGGTCGGCAAGTTTAGGCACAAACATGCCCTTAATCACACCAGATGCCAGAGGTTTTGCATAACTCATTTCGCCAAAGAAACATCCAGCCATTACAAGTACCAACACTGCTATTAACAATTGCACCTTTCTTGCCTGATTAACCAAAAAATCAAGAAAAAAACAAAGTCAAAGAGGATAATCAAAATTTTAAGACAAAACCCTTTGATAATTATATATTTTGTCAATTCCATAATCAAAGTAAATTACAACATCATGTCAGCCTCTACTACTGCTCTTGTTGAATAAAAAATGAAAAAAAAATGAAAAACCTACACCACACAGAGTTGTAAATATATATTTAATAATTAATCATGACAACATCTTCATTAAAAATATTATGACAACATATCAGCAGGTGCAAGTTGACGAAGTATCCAAAAAAAAAAGGAAAGTTGACTTGTGCATGAAAGGGTAAAAATTAATAAGTTTTTTTCAATAAAAATCCAAAATTAAAAAAAAAACTTGTACTTTTTAGTACTTTTCATGGATTAGACCTTGGAATGAAAACAGACAAAAGTTTCCTCATGTAATCTTACGTTATATAATTAATGAAAACAGGCAAGTTGAAATTAATACATACAATAATTTCATTAAATTTATTTTTTATTTGTGCTTAATTCAACTCACGTTCTGGAAAGTAGAATAATAAACAGTGTAGAGTACTTAATTAATTATATAGTAAATGTTTACCTTATCTTCATAAGGAAAAATAAATAAATAAATCCTGGTTTAAACTATATTATTATGTCATATAGATGGAAACAAACAGTTAATTTTGTCCTTGAAATGAAATTTTAATGCTTTAATGCTCCAAATTGAATGTTCATACAAATAAATTACCCCATATCTTTGCAGGCCAAGGAGGAGGAGAGTGCCTAAACTAGTGCAGAGAACTCCAACCCACACAGGGATGTGAAACAAAATATTTAGTGTAAACACCATTATTATTATTATTATTATTATTATTATTATTATTATTATTATTATTATTATTATTATTTACTTAATTTTTTTCCTTTTTTTTTGTATTTTTTCTTCTTCTCTTTTTTCTTTTCTTTTTTCTTTTCTCCTTTCTTTTTCTTTCTTCTTCTTCCTTATCTGATTTAAATATAGTGTATTAAATGCACAATCCCTAAAATCCAAAATCACCGTCGCTAGTTGCCAGCGGCCGACCGACAAGCCGCCAATCACGAACGATAGGTGTGATTTCTCAGTTGAAAAAAATGGGATTCGAATCCCAGAAGATCTGGGATTTGAATCCCAAAAAGCTTTATAAATAGAGCTTCTTATTTGCAAATGAAAAGAAGGAAAAACAAAAAAAAGGCAAAAAGTTTTAGAAAAAAAAAGGAAAAAAATGTTTCTGTTTGAAAAAATTTTAGCAGAAACACAAAAAAAAATACATAGTCTTCCCGTAGGGAAGAACCCAGCGCTAAGCTTCTTGCAAGAAAAAAAAAAGGTCAGTTTCAAAAAAAAAGAGTCAGAATAGAAAAAAAAAACTCACCGAAAACATTGAAAGTAGATCTAAGGAAGTGGGTACTTTTTTTGTGAAAAAGATCTCGGATCTGAACTCAAGAGACCGAGAGGAACTTTTTGGTATTTTTTAAGAATTTTTTGACCACCAGAGAAGGCGGCCGATGACCGACGAACAATGACGACGACGGCCAGCCGACCGGCATTCGGCTGAAGAAGAAAGGAGAGAAAAAAAATAGGGCGTTTTATTTTCTGAGAAAAAAAATGAGTGAAAAATATTTTTTTGAACCTTTTATATAAATGCTGAAAACCAAAACGAGGCCGTTTCGATAAAGTCCAAAACGACGTCGTTTTAAGCACCCAGGATCCGCGCGTCAACCCGCCACCTAACTCGGGGTCCACGCACCCGACCCGTGACATACTTCCTTTATCAGTCTCTGACCGATCTACTAAACCGAAATCGAACTGTCCAGACCGGATCGAACCGTCGGACTGAACCATCGAACTAAACCGTGCGTTGACCAGACCATTGATCGATCCGATTCAGGTAAAAAAAATTTTTTTTTTTTAATTTTTCTTATTTTTTATATTTATTTTATTATAATTATGTATATTAAATATTTATATTGTTCGATTAAATGGATGAAATGTGGTTAACATTTTTTTATATAATTATTTAAATAAACTTAAAACAAAATAAAATAAATTTAATAATAATACTAAGTTAAAAAGTGAAGGACAAGAATTTTTATCAATTGTGAGAATAAAGGTATTTGAGTAGTGATCATACGAAATCTCCTAGGTATAGCAGATTTTTTTTAAATATACCATGTTGGAGTATTAAAAAAAATTTTCAATCAAAAAAAATTTCTTGTCTTGATCAAAAAGTAAAATTAATTATTTAAATTAACTATTAAATAAGGAAAAAAGTGAATTTTATCCAGTGATGGGATTCTAAAAGTATTTTAAGTAGAGATGTTTTAAGAAATCTCTATGTGAGAAGATTTTTTGTAAAATATTACCAGTGTATTAGAATATTTATAAAAAATTTTCAATATAATTAAATTTCTTTTTCTTCAAAATTTCAATTTTAAATAAGAATATTAATAAAATTTCTAACAAAGGAGAATAAAATGTGTGCATAAACATGGTAACATTTTTGCATTACATGCATGACATTTTTTTACGAAAAATAAATTTGAGCCTCTGAAGATGAGATTCTAAGGTATTCCGAGAAGCGATGCCTAAGAAATTTTTAGGTGAGAAAAAATTCTTCTAATGTTACCAATATACTGGAACATTTTAAGAATTATTTAAATAAAAAAGTTTTAATTTATTTTTCTCGAGAATAAATTTTTTTAATAAATAAAAATTATCAAGGAAATTATTTTTCGAACATCGAAAATTGGACTATTTTTATCAAAATCAAAGGATAACACATTGTTAATTGGTACTGTTTTTAACAGGTGCTATAGGGGTGCTAATCTTTCTCCACGCGTAGCCGACTCTCGAACCCAGACTGTTTCGTAGATCATAAAATTATCTTTTTAATAAATTTTAATTAATTTTAAAATTTTTTTAAAAGGATATGTTTTAGTAGGTAGCCAATCGTACCTAGCCAAAAAAGATTGGTGGCAACTCCGTTATTTTTTATTTCGTTTCCAAATTCGTCGGGGGGGCACAAAATCGTTACGACAGCTTGGCGACTCCGTTGGAGACACCTTTTATTTTCGAGAGTCAGGCCAAAATTAACTACTTGTTATCCTCAAATTTTGATTTGAATAGTCCTAATCAATTTCTTAAATTTTTATTCTTTATTTTTAGTAAAAAAAAAAAAAACAAAACAAATCAAAAATAAAAAGCAAAAAAATTCACACACATTTCTTTTACTATGCCTCTTATGTTTTATTTTTCTGTTTATATTGCTTTCAATAAATTAGGATATATTTGCACACAATGGCACGATGCATCTCATACATGAGCTCTATACCTGGGCTCTGTTTTTTATAGGAGGAAATAAAGTACCTATGCTCTCGTGAGGTGATAACCTCTACAATGGCAAGTGAAATACTTCCACTCGAATTGAACCCTTTTCGTTCGTAACCTGTAATAGGTGAGGATCGGGGTACCTTACTAGTCTAACATGGACGACAGTGAGGAACAATTTAGGAACCTTTAAACCCTGTTAACTAGCATATAATAAGCCTAGGAAACTAGCCTTATGTAGAGCCTTATCTATCTTCTTGTAGGAAATACCTAAGAATAAAAGTTGTGTATAATATGAAACAAAACAAAACATAAAAAATCTCAAAAACACTAAAAAACAAAAAAAATGTATTTTTTTTAACCACACTAACTCAATTTTGTTTCATTTTTTGCATTAATCATATCATACAATTTTACATCGAGATATTTGCTCTAGGACATATTTTTCCTAAGAAGTTTTCATGGATCCCGTAGAACTATAAATTTGCTCATCCTCAGTCAGTGTGCCATGTGAATCATATAATGAAGTACATGTTTGGTCGAAAGAAGTTCAACAAAAGAATAGAGATTGTTTGCCTACCGGTTATGTGTCTGAATTACCCGAGAAAGTGCATTTAGATCTCACACAGAATGATTTAAAAGAGTTAGTTGTTGTCTGGGGTCAGTTAAGTGAAGAAAAAAAAGAAAGCTTTTGTAAAAAGTATGAGCAGATTGCATCTCTCATTTCAATAGTGATTGATGAACAGCTAGTTAAAGCAGCTATACAGTTTTAGAATCCATCCTATAGATGCTTCACTTTTAATCGGGAAGATTTGATGCCAACTATTGAAAAATATTCGATTTTGCTTGGGATAAAATTATAGTGTCCAGATAAAGTATTCACCCGAAAGCCAAAATCAGGTTATCGTAAAAAGTTGGCCAAGCTTATGGGGGTTAAAATGGAAACCATTGATTCCTTTACGAAGCCTAAAGGTGAACATCTCGGCATTCGTTGGGACTTCCTCTGAAACTTCATTCAGGAGCACTTAAATGATGACAAAGGCATGGCTGTGTTTGCTTTATCATTGTATGGCATGGTAATCTTTCCAAAGACTTTGGGTTACATTGAGATAACTGTGGTGGACTTTTTCGAGCAAATTGAAACCCAAGCAATTAATCCTGCATTAGCAATCTTAGTAGAAACCATTCGATCATTAAATTTTTATTGACGAAAAGGAAATGGATGGTTCATAGGATGTGCACCTCTATTATATGTATGGGTTAGAAGTCATTTTTAATGTCGAAAGAGTGCATTTTCAAAGCCATATCTACAAAACAAAGCACCAATAGAAGAGTTCTGCAAGAGTCAATGGCCAACATTGAAGATTAAGGAAGAATGGGTCATTTTCTTACGAAAGATTATCGATGATGAAATTGAATGGATGGCACCTTGGATGCCTCGAGTGCCCTTGTTGTATCGTGAAGGAAATGAGTCGTGGATACCGTTGTTAGGATTATGGGGTATTGTAAGTTACGCTCTATTAATGGTACTTAGGCAATTTGGTGTAAAGCAGTTTGTTCCTGCTACTCACGATTTGGTCCAAGTAGAATTCATTTATGAGGAACCGAATCCATCAAGAACCTTGAAGTAGTTGATCCAAGCATGGAAGAGAACACGAAGAATGAGTTTAGGGCCTCTCATCGACAAAGTCACTTTTGATTACCAGATTTGGAAAGCAAGGCGGCCTAGAGACATATTACTCCTTCCTGATGATAGCTCATATCAATTGATTAATCTTTCGAAAGAGTTGCAATTATCAGAAGTTGAGCTTGTCAAGAAAGAATTAGAAGCTGAAAAAAACAAATAAGAAGAGAAAATTTGAGACTTCACGAAAAAGTAGGGTAACTAAAATATGAAGCAGAGATACAAGGGAGCAGATTAGAAAAAGTCATAAAAGAACGAGATCTGGCCAATAGTGATTTGAAAGATCTACACCAAAAAAATAAGAAGTTACGAGTTTAATTTAAAATTGAAAAAGTCACCAAGTCTTACCTTAGTCGATAATATGAAATGGATGAACTCTAGGAGGGAATAAACCAATGGAAAGGCAAAGCTCAAGAAAAGTAAGAGGAAACCACCAGAATTTCTCAAAAATGTCAGAATTGGAAGGGATTATATTCTACAACCTCAACAAGGTTGGTAAAATGTCAAAACGAAAAGGAAAGGTTGAAAGTCATGCTCGTAAAAAAAAAAAAGCACTTCGAAATACTGAATGAAAAAGAATCACTTCACCAGGTGATCCAAGGGTTGGAGCTACAACTGCAAGATCACTAAAACCATATTTCAATAATGATAGATGAGTGGCATAAAAGAGAAAAAGATTGGATCTTCACATGTGATTCAGAAAGAGAAGCTCGCATGATGTGGAAAGCAGAAAGTTTATGGAGGTAATAGTACATAGAGCACATAACTAGTCAAGTTTGTAAGGTAGTAAAA